TGGGAGCAGGTGCCAATAGAAAAGAAGAAGTACAAGATATTGGTCGCATTGCCTCGTGAGACGTGAAGTACATTTGACAGGTGCTATAAGAAAAAAAGGATTCGTTAGTATACAAATACGAAATTTCGCGTAGAAAAATATTTATAAGATTAAATTACACGATTACAGATTTTTAAAAATGGTACAATATATAAAGATTGCAGATATAAATATATAATTGCTACGGGCTGCCGGATTATATTAGTTTTGCGAAACTGTGAAACGCGGATTATGTTGATGCTAAAAATATTTAAAAGTAATTCTTATTTTTCGCCTATGTTTTTTTTTCAACTGTATCAACGTCTTTAGTTTTCAATTTAATAATTGAAAATTAAATGAATGAAAGTACAAAAAATTGAGAAATAAATGGGATATAACACCGGTTAATTTACAATTATCCTTTTAATATTTGTGCGTAGTTCGACGTTTTGTACTGTCTCGCGTAGAAATAATTCATTTCCGAGCCATTGGAAATTACGGGAAAATTGGATTCATGGCAGAAGGCAAATCAAGACGAACGAGAACAGCTGTGATTCAGGAAAAGAAAATCGGGAAGGATGAGGATGATGTCAATGACGAAGATATGGTAACCAAGACCCAAACCATGCCGGTTTGTTTACATTTTATGATTTTATAATAATCACCAAATAAATGCGATAATTATTCAGTTTATAGCTACTCACCTCCAGTAACCTCCGATAAAGTTTATTTGACGCATGAAATGAAAGAATCTGGCAGAAAAAAGCTTTCTGTGTCCCGGGAATTGAGATATTAATCATTAAAATTTATGATTAAGGTAGTTAAATTAAACTGAATAATTATACGATTTTATTTTTTTTTTTAATGCAGTTTCTTTCAAATTATGACTTTATCTAATGGCAATGTCGTATGGCTTTTGCTTCAGCATTATTACTTTCTGTTAGGTAATATCAGAAAGACCAAAACTGAATCTCAAATCCTTACGAAATCAAAATACTAAAAATGTATGCAACACAGCAGGTGTTCAAATTATTGCATCTTCTAAAAGATTCAAGAGTTCTCAGAAAGAGCTCAAAATGGAAACTCATGTCGAAAGTTAGTTATAAGATTGATCATTTAATTACTCTTAAAACTCTTATTTTTTAAAATACATTTTATAATATTTATATAGAAAAAAAGGAAGTGGAAGAGTTGAAACCAAACGCGAGTCCTGGCAAAGGAAAGCTGAGAGCAGTCGTGGACTTGCAGCTAATGAAGGCAGAATTAAAACAATTAGAAGATCCTCCTGTAACACCCTGGGAGAAGGAATTGTCCTCCAGCCGATTGCAGTATGAATTCTTTGACATTCCCTGCGAAGAGCTGGCGCAACGGCTGTTAGGTTCGTAGAATTTAATTTTTCTCATATAATATTACGCGTTGTATTAATTAATTTATTTTAATTTGAAAAATAATGCGACTATTACTTAAAAGATATCCTGTGTCTTCTTTTTCATTATACTATCTGTATAAATTCTATTCGTTAATTATAGATATAACTGCAATAGATATTCTGTTTTGCGTATTTCCTACAGGAAAAATACTTGTAAGGTATCTCGAGAACGGAACTGTCCTCAAAGGTAGAATCGTAGAGACTGAGGGATATTTGGGAGCGATTGACAAAGCATCGCACTCTTACCAGAATAAAGTTACGTCTCGCAACTTACCGATGTACATGCCGCCAGGGACCATTTATGTTTATATGACATACGGGATGTACCATTGCTTCAACATCTCTAGCCAAGGTGAGTACAAATAAAAACGATTTCTTTCGATTACTTCTATGTATGAAGAATTAAAATATGCTTTACTTCCATTTGCGTGAAATCATTGGAAATAATAAAAATCCTAAAAATAAGACGAAAGCAAAAGACGAGATTATTCCCTAATAATAAAAAAAAAAGTACAAAAAGAAAATAACAAGTTTGTTTAGGAAGAGAAAATCGCATTTTCATAATTTCAAATTATATTTTTGTTTGAAAAGAAAATCGCCCATTGATGTATTACATTAGTAGTATTACCATTTAGTATTATTTAGTATTACAATACTAAATAACGTTTAGAGGGAAATGCGCATGTATTAATCAAAGCAGTGGAACCATTGATGGGCTTCGAATATATGGAATTGCTAAGAAATATGCAGCGAAAGGATAACGGAAGAGAAAAACAAATCGCGAAACGTGCGACGCACTTAAAGCAATATGAGCTTTGCAATAATCCGTTCAAGATTTGCGATGCGTTTGTGATCGACCAAGATGCTTTCGACCGGAAGCTTGCTTATGCGTGTAATAATTTGTGGCTTGAGAGTCAACCCTTTGTAAGGTCTCCTACTATAGTAGCTGTACCATCTGAAAGCTCTAAATCAGACGATAATCACGCTACAAAGACGCGATATTACGTGCTGGGAAGCGCCAGCGTCGGCGAAAAAAATTCTGAATGCGAGAAAAACGCTTACATTGCAATAAGTTAGACTTTATAATATTAAATATAAAAGTACGGAACTCCTAAGTCCGAACGATAAGTTTGCTCGTCTACAAAAATATATACTTAAGAATAGATAGAGTTGTCAATTATTAAAGAATTTAAAAAATATTTAATTAAATTAACAATTATGAGTTTTTCCTTGTATTAATTATTTTGCATCGCTAATCTACAATTATACATTTTTAATCCCGCAGTGTGCGCGCTTCAGCAGATTTCAAAATGTAAAAGTTTAAGGTCAGAATTCAGAAGATCAGAAAAGCTTAAGGTCTAATTAATTTTATAGTTTAAGTTAGAATTTTTTTCATTAAATCCGTTAATCGTTGATGCCTCTCTATGCGAAAAAAAGCATATTTTATAAAGTTTTATAGAAGTATCGATATCCTTGATATTAAATAGAAATTTAAAAGAATAGATTTTTTACATCTGTAGCTTCGAAAGATCTTTACCTCACTATTGATAAGGTCTTAGGTGATGGATGCGCGGTGTTGGTGCGAGCCGTCGATCCCTTAGAAGGTGTAGAATGCATGGTTGATCAGCGTAATACCTCGAAGATGAGAAAAGGCAATCTAAAACATCATGAGCTATGTAACGGACCTTCGAAGCTCTGCATAGCGTATCAGCTTAACAAGCAGCACAGCAGATACTCTCTCTGTATGTGGAAGGGTCTATGGATCGAGGACGATGGTGCAACGGGAGATATCAAGATCGTTAAGTCTGCCAGGATTGGAATCGATAGCTGCGGTCCAGAATGGGCCAACAAGCCTTTGCGCTATTATATTTATGGCAATAAGTCTGTCAGCAAGAGAAACAAAAAAGCAGAGATAGAAATTTCTTAATTGGTCAAGGCTGGTTTTATCAAATCCAATCTGCATGCTTCCACATAAAAAGATTTATATATCGATTGCATATTTCAAATATAAGAACATTCTTTATAAATCTCAATCATTATAAAACAAAAAATTAAACATGTGAATGAGATATTATCACGAATTGTATTAGCATTAATTAAAAAATTAATTTATGGTATTTGATTTATTTTTTTTTTAATGATAAAATACTTTTCTGATCCACAATAGTAATCCCACAATTTATTAACATTTTGCCATTATTATAAAAGATTGATAATTTAAACCATGCAATAATTCATGCATTCATTTATATAAAAGCATAATGCTGACAAAAATTAATATTGATATAATTACTTAAATTGTAAAGTAATAATTTCTGCGAAGATTTAAAAAATTTAAAGATTTCGAAATTGTTATTAAAATATTGTTATATGTTATAAAGCACTAGCATTGATTATAAAATTTCAATTTAAATTGTATACATTTATTTCTTCTCTTATGTGAATAAATTATTCGATTTTAACAATAAGTCAATTGAAGTTATCGAATTTATTATAATATAACGATTGGGTTTGTATTATGGAAATTAAGCTTGCTCGATTATAAAGTAGTGAAAATTTGATCTATACATAATTGATATATACATAAATACGATTTAATTTATAATTACAAATTATATATATATATATATAATCTAAAAATTGTAATCCTAATAATTAGATCATAATAATTTCACTATTATGCGACCCAAAAATTTGAAGCTAAAGTTTAATGTATCGTATATTATTTCAATTCATTTATTCAGAAATTAACTATAGAGAAACAAAGTTATACAAAAATAAATAAAACTTTGGAAAATATTAAGTTTCAAAAACTCAATATTAAGATATAATTTATGACCAAGCTATGATTATCGTGTGTATGTATGTATGTATGTATAATATCGAGTATAATTAATTTCTCCTTAAAAAAAAGAAGAAAAAAATAAGCGCTCTATCACATTTTCAGTAAGGAAATTTCATCATGTCCATTCCTTCATCACGCGCTCATAATCATCCTCCTCAATGAATGGCTTGTCTATTGATCTGCAAAAAAGTCAATCAATTTATTAGTCTATTATTTTTAAATTATAGAATTTTGTATAATGTTTGTTCGATATTCTAAAAAAAATTTTTTAATTTCGATTTTTTAAGAATATATTATTCGTATAATACCTAAAAAAAGGTAAATTAACCTTTAAACCATCACGTCCAAAAAAATCACTAACCACAATGTCGGTCTAACAGACCGCTATTATGCTCCCACTAATTTTATAAGTTAATTAATACAATAAAAATGTATGTTTTCTGAATACTTTGTGAATGAGGAAAAGAAAAACTATGTTAACAAAAAAATCTCGTATACAATAGAAATAAAATATATTTAAATAGTGACAAATAAGGAAATTGTTGACAAGTAACGTTTCAATAGCGGTCTGTGATATAGTGGTTTAAAACTTTAAACTTTAAAGGTTAAAATGGGAAGTAATTAAATCATCTTGAATATTTAAAATACTTTAAAAAAAAATTGAAATTTTTGTCATTATTTAAAATATAACAATAAAAAATAATAGTAAATAAAGTAAATAAACTTTAAAAATATTAAAAGAATATGTTATTCACACAACTGTTTCATATGTGTATAATTCATTCATTTTTATATGAATAAATTTAACACATTTCCAATTTCTCCTTTTCACTTTTTTTTTAGGAAGATATTTTATGCGAATGATACATCCTTAAGTAATCTTTAACTTTTAGAATTTTGCAACTGAAACTTTCTTTAACTGTTTAACTGCTATAAACCTACTCTATCATAAGTTCTCCACAGTAGAGGCACTCCGAGGCGACCAACTCGTCGATGTCGGCCTTGATCTGGTCCCTTGTTGACAACGACACAGAGGTTGTCGAAGTGGTGTCTTCGGGCCGGTTTGAGATGGCCGTGAGCTGTCGCTGAAGATCTGCCAGTTTCGTCCTCTGATCCATGGATAGCATCGGCGTTAACGCTGCCACTAAACAATCACTGTGAAACTTATGACCGCAGGGAAATACGTAGAAGGGTCTCAGTAACAGTTGCACCTCACATGTATTACACGTGTCTCGCGCATGCACAAAGGTGCATCTGAAAAAAAAAAAAAAACAATTTTGTAATTAAAAAATAGAGATATGTGTGATGCCCAACATAATTTCATAATTGTAACAAGCAACTATTTTTCCATACATGTATAATACGTTATATTTAACGAATTTTGAACAAACTTAAAACATATCTTACTTTTATTTTATCTTTATATTAGGTTAAATTTAGACAAAAACAAATCGTTACTTTAATTATTGCTGCACTCAGAAATTCTCTCAAGCAAACTGTTTACTCGCAAATTCTCATAAATAACTAAAATCTCTTACAATAACAATTTTAACAAATATACAGAAATAATAGTTGAGCTGGTCAACACGATCGTATGGCGATTCTCACATAAATTTTTCTATTTAATAAATATCGATTTGTTATCTGAGAAAAGAATCAATCAATCTTCACTTATTGATTTCTCAAAATATTAATTTTCTCATTGAAATATAATTAAATGTATAGCTGATAAAGAGCGAATCTTAGTAGTAGCAGGTTGCAGAGGTGCAATATTAAAAATATTGGGAAAATGATTTTATCAGTACCTGGTTCTGAATGCTTGAATGTCCTTTCGTATTAGCTCTGCTGCTTTCGTGGCTTCCTGCATCTCCTCCTTAAGATCTTGAATGTGCTGATTGTATTCCTGTTACATATAGAAGAGAAAACTTAATAAAAGTCATATTTATAAATAATTTACCTTTTAAATGATCTTTTCGTAGATATATAATTATAAAATAATTATCAAAAAAGAGGTATAATAAAAAATACAAAATTAGAATTAGAATTAGAAAAAAATTTCATTTGAAATCTGATTATAAATTTAGAAATAGTTTTAATCTGTACCTGCAGGGAATTGCAAATAGCTTCCTTGAAATGATCGATTGTGACAAAATCGGAGAAAAAGGGCAGAATATCTTCTATCCTAACTAAATCGCAGTGTTGCAAAAATTCCATTGCTTGCTGTATGTCATCTTTTTCTCGCACTACATGCTCCGCTGCACATACAATAGCAAAATAGTATATTTTTTAAAATAATCTATAACAGATTTACTATAATAATCACAGGTTTTAAAGTACAACAAATCTCTCTGTTGTATAAGAACCGACTTTTCTAATCGGATATTATTGATTAGAAAGTTGTTCTGAATTACCTATCTTCAACCATAGTTTCTTTCTCAACTCGTCGTCATGATCGGACGGCATAGCGGCGATCTGCTTAGCAAGATCTACACTGATCGTAAGCGCGAGATCCACAGCGGTGGTCCATAGACCGAGCAAAGCGGACAGTTGCACACAAGCTTCCGTCAAGCCTACCTCCTGACACAATCGCAGTGCGTAATGCACGTCGTAATGTACCATGCTGATATCCTGACCTGAAAATAGCAATAGATCATCTCAAACGATAGAATTATAACAAATCAATAAACCAAATCATAACTGGAGTAAATTAACAGGGTTGCCACAGACCTGGAAAGCTGGGAAAAGTCAGAGAAAAATATAAAAGAGTCTGGAATTTTTAACTTTGCTCCTTAAAAGGGATCCATTCCGATTCTGTAACTCTTAACGACAATTCGGTATTGTTACATTTTTTGTATGTAGGTATTGCTTTTTCTGATTTGAAAATCCTTTTTCCGAATTAAATAGAAAATAACAAAATAAAATGATTTTGTACGAAAATCAAAAAAATTTTCGAAAATTACGATTTTGTTCTAGACTTCTCTCTGTTATCGCAATCGAAAATATTCTGAATATTTAGCGATATTAAAGAAGTGTCTACAGGAATCTTTCTGCTATGACCATCTCTGAGTTTTTGTCTGGTCCCCAAGCAACGGAAAATTCAGTTACATCAAAGGAATTTTTTCTGTTTAATACATAACATCAAAGCAACAATGTCAAAGCGTTAATAATTTGTTGGCCTGAATTTGCACTTGGGATTGTATTATGTTATTAAACTTCTAAATTTATGTTGCTTCTAATAATATAAGTTACTTTTCTTGTAATATGTGTCTTCTAAACATTAAAATTTAGAATTATACATATATTTGATAATGATCATGGATGATTTTCCACTGTCGTCTGGAAATCATGGAAAAGTCAGGGAATTTCAAAATTCATTTTCTGTGGCAAACCTGATTAATTTTCCATTAAAAAAAATGCGAGATGTTTACCTTGAGAGCTTATGTATCGCATTACTTCGTCCTGCTTGTAGCGCGCGTACAAGGACAAAAGAAAGTTGTGAATTGCTTGCTCCTGCGAACCCTGCTTGTATACACAGAATTCCAAGTATTTAATAATTTCTTTTGCCTGTAAAAAAAAAAGAGAAATTATCGACGAAGCTCTGCTTATGTGTTAGAAGAAATAGTAATCTCTAAATACTATTTCTTTTTCTCAAATATTACTTCTTAAATTTTAATTAATTGTTATTCTTAATAAATTATTACTAATTGTAAGATAAGAGTAACAATTTGCTCTCCCTCTTTTTCTTACATGCTTTTCATCACTATTACACGAGACTAAAGCTGGCAGAAGCTTTGCCGGTTTCAGCGATGATCCTTGCGAAATCAAGACAGCCACCGTGGGCCGCGGCAACTCCTGCAACAGTATCCCGGCGAACTGATAGAAGAGGTCCTTATTGTTTTGACTCTTAAGTACCCCAAGCGCCTCCAAGTAGTTATTCTTATACAGATGTTGACGAATCACCTCTTCATAATTGCAGTGCATTATTGTCAGACGTATCAGATTATCTTTGTCACCGTGACTTGCCATCAAGTCGTATATTGTGCTGCGATTTCTTCTGATACATTCCTGCGTCCAAAGCTCCAGTTAGCATTTTTTAATTTTAATTTATAATAAATTTATAATAAATCGATTTGTTATTTAAAAAAAGGACAAAACTACAATATTTATTAAATATTGTAGTTTTGTCCTTTAAGTAATTATGAATTAAATATTAATATTTGAAGGGCTAACTTATATAGTTATAAACAACAAAAATGTCCAAAATAGTAAATTTAAAATATCAGAAATGTTAAAAAATTTATTTTTTGTTAATTTATAATTAAGGAATTATATAATTAAAAAAACTTTCGAAATACCCATCTTCCGATCTATATTTATAATTTTTTTTCTTTTTATTTGAATTTTAAATTCGTGTAATATTGTTAATTAAAAAAAACTCTAATATCCTTTCTTTTCATTCCATTCTTTTTCTAAATACCTCGACTTTGGGAATGGTGAAAAAGCTGTCAAACTGCTTCTGCAATTCTGTATACTGCGAATCGTGAAGGTAAGACGTGTTGCTGCTACGCAGAGCTCCCATTTGATTCATAAAAAGCTCTGTTACCCAAATGACAATCATCGTTATCTGCGTCTTGTCTTGCGTCTTCAAGCCATCAAGTTTCTTGAGACAATAAGATTCATTTTAAACTAAATAATTATCAATTGCAATTTTAGATTAAAACAAGAACATTGAAAAATTTCAAAAATTTAAAATGTTCACACAAATGTAAAAATAAGAGAAAAAAATTGAATTAATCACAGTAAATAACTTCTCATGTATGTATATGTACATGTAACCAAAATAATGTTTTCCATAATATTATTGGATTTTGAAATTATTTTTGCAATTTATCTAAATTAATATTTGTTAATTAATATTCGTGATTCATTGTAAAGCACAGAACCGCTAAATAAATCTTATACTTATCGTTTACCTTGCGCAGGAATGTTTTTAGAGCTTCAATTTGCCACTCTTGCAAAAATTTCAATGAGACCTCCTCGAAAGACGAGTGAGTGTCAGCGTATATTAAAGCGCTCTTCTCGTATCTGCAAAATAATATTCAAACAACGAGAGAAAATTAAGGAAGTATTCTAGTCCAGAGGCCAAAATTTTTATGCTAGTTTTGCGATTTAAAAAAAAGAATTTAAAAAAAAAAGTTTAAAGTTTTTTTGGGACGGGGTTTTTTTCCACATATTTTTACCTATTTGAAGTATGTTTTAAAATATTTATATTTAAAAATAACTATAAATAAGCGCTGTATACAATATATACATAGGTCATAAAAAAATTGGTTGCCATATCTCGAAAACCAATTGACCAATCAAATCGGGTTTGTGCACACATCTTCAGGATATGCGTGATTATAGCCCCTACCATGATAAAGTCAAAAAATATATTTTTTTAATTTTCACAATTGCAAAAATTTAAAAATTGCAAAAATCAAAATTTAATTTTCAAAATTATGTCAATGTTTAAATTTTCAATATTTTCTTTTTCGTTCTGGTAGGTACCTGCTAGCCAAATTCATACTAATTAAGAATTTCTTCGATTTTTTTGTTTTGTTTTAAATGAGCAGAACAGCCGGAATTATGGCAATCGTTTTTTTTTCACGACCTCAGTATATATTGTACCATATAATTAAAAAAAATAATAATTTATTCCTATAGAAACGTTATCCGTCCAGTAAAGGACACACTGTCTCTGTCAGTACAAAAACAACTCGTCATGTAGCGAAAAAATATACTTGGCGGGAGCCGCTACCGCATCTCCTGATACAGCGCTTATTTATAGTTATTTTTAAATACAAATTTGAAACATACTTCAAATATGTATAAATATTTAGGAAAAAATCCCGTCCCTAAAAACTTTATACTTTCTTTTGAAACAATTCGCAAAAATAGCATAAAAATTTGGCCTCTAGACTAAAATAAACCCCCTTAAATAAAAATATATAATCCTTCGAAAAAAGAATAATACTATAAATACTATAAATACTAATATTATATATACATTTATACTACATACATACACATTTGTATGTATCTGCAAGTACATGTATACAACTTACTCTTTATTCTTGAAAAGCATTTCTGCCTGTTTTACGAGTATTTGGTCGATGTGCGCCGGGTTGTCTTTACAATATTGCTTAGCCAGTTCAAACTCACCCTTATCGACATATACCTGAGGGAAAAATTATCATTATTGCCACTTCAAAATAATTACATTCTCATTCTTCTTACCTGCCAAACGTTCCTATCTTCTTTCGTTACTTTGTATTTGAAAACAGCTCGCTCGCTGTAAGCCCAAATCGACCTCGTTGCCGGATCCTTGGTGATGCCGATTAATTTACCGACTGCCTACAACATCGTTAAATCACACTTGCGTGATACATATTTGACATTTCGCGAGAAAATTCAACTATCACATGAGTTCCATCAAAATCAAACTTTATTAAATGTATTCATATTAATTATAACCGTTACACATTCTCTCTTAATTCTCCGATTCTCAATATACTGTAATTATAACTGATCATCGAAATAATAATAAAAGAATAGCTGAGTATACATACATCGTTATAAACGTCTTCGAATATCAATTCCTGATTTAGAAGCGATATGCCCTTTACGTGATCTGGATATAACAACAGCGCATGGAATTCCGTCAACACGAAGGACAACGGCGTCGAAGTGGTTTGTGGAACGTTACTGCCCATGAGACTCGTTTCCGGGCATGTCAACATCCGTTGATTGATCAGCACGTAGTTCGTGTCCGTCTTCGCGTCCACCTAAAACCGATCATCACGTACTCTTCATCCGGGTCAATGGTTCTCAACGTGAGCCATATAAACTTCAGGAGAAATCGCGAACATTTCTAAGCAATCATGCGTAAAAAGAACAAAACATTAGAAAATCGCAAGCTTTATGAAAGAATGAGCAAACTTTCCCATTTCCGTCAGCAAGGGAATAAAAAAAATAAAGATAAATGAAACATAGAAACAAAAAGAAGAGAAAAGAGAGAAGAGATAGACAGATAAAGCGTTTATTAAAGGCAGGCTAAGAGCTGACAAGACATAGCGATACAGAGATAATAAGAATAATAAAAATATAAATGATGAATGAAAAAATAAGAATAACAAAATAAAATACATAAAAAAATAAAAGACAAGACGTCGTAGCAGAAAACAATAGCATACAACAAAATTTGAAATAGTTGAGCGTCAAAGAAACAATAAGCAGAGTATATCGACGAAGTATTAATTAATATAATAAAATGTCATGTCGTTGCCGCGGGGACGCAAAAACATTAAAGTCGCCAGCGCCTATACAGCACAGAAACTTGCATCAACATTGCTGTAACGTTGCAATATTACTACAATATTGCTGAAACATTGCAATGTTGCTGCAATGATCTGTGTCGTATGGGCGAATGCGATTGCAGACACACTGTCACGGCGAAGCAGATGACAGAAGAATCTGCGCTTGAACGAGCAAATAGTCAGATTCTCTGATGTCCACGGGCAACGAGTTCCAGAGAGAAGAGGCAACATACAAGGACAGTTGGTACGTGGAGATTCGGCAAAAAGAGATCACTAGGTCAAAAGGAGAGGCGCGGGAAGCAGCACGAGGATTAAGGAAATAGAAATTAGGAGTAAGATAGGGGGGGCGGAGAATACAGAAAAGAAAACAGCTAGTAGACTCTTCCGTCATCCGCGATCAGCCAACCCAGCGTGTGATAATAACGTGAGACGTAATCGTCGTAGTGCAGATTGAAGATAAAGCGAATGCACGCAATTAATTAGGGAGAAAGAGGAAGAGAGAAAAAATTAAGGATTTACATATGGTTAGATATTTATAAATAACATTAACATTTAAGTCTTTAAAAATAGCGTAAAAACACGATACAAATACGATAATATATATGTATATGTATAATTGTACCTGAGCATATAGGATACCAGCTTCCGTCAACCATCCAAATGACTTCGGCAAGATACCCAAGGATGGATAATAAAATTGCATCTTCGAATATGGCAAAGAATTTATTACTTCGTTAAAAGTCTCTGAAATATAATGTATTTAATTATTCAAATGTGTTATAACATTTAAATGTTATACTTTTAACTTTTTTTCAGAAAACACTAACAAGCAATTCTTTTTTTTGCTTTTTTCTTTATGCGTTTCTAAACAAATGTTCTGAAAATAAATGAAATTAACCAATAACTTTATATTTAGATGTTTTTAATTATAATAAAGTAACCTTGTATGTACATATACTGGCCTTTACATAATTATTGCAAGTTGTTCTGAACATTTAAGGAATATTGAATTTAGAGGTGTGTCAAATTTGTATGAACAGTTTGAATTCGAATCAAATTACAGTAGATTCGGTTCGAGTTCGTTTTTCAAATCTTACAGATTAGTTCGAGAATAGTTCGAGAATTTCGAATCAACAATGTTTCGATTTCGAATCGATTGCCTATTTTATTTGCTTCATTTATAACTCCCGCGCGATCGATTATTCTTATCTAATAAATATGTATTTTTGATGTATATAATGTAAATTAATATAGAAAATATTCGAAAGCATTCTAACTATATTCGTGTATACACATTATATTATTAATTACATATTTTCTAGTTCATATAAGATCATGATCCTTTGTACTGAGATGTAAATTGAAAACAGGTCTTCAGTTTGTTTAAATCATTGCGTAAAATAACGTAATTCATAAATTTTGATATTTATTACGTTTAAATTAACATGTAATGTAAATCTGATTTGATTCTGGGGATTCTGGGAATTCGATTCAATGCAAATGCTTGATTCGCACACCTCTAATTGAATTATAGTGTGCTGATTCAACATTCGAAAATCATACACTTTTTATATTTCTCTCTTACCTTGTGCATTTAGATATCTATAGAACACTTGTTGTAGAAGAGGCTTCTCTTCGGGATTACCAATGGCACCGATATATTGATAAATGCGCATAAGAGTGGTTACGATGATTACGTATTTATCTGAATTAGGAATTTTGTGGAATTCTATTCCAGTAATTGGAGGCTTGCTGTTCTTTCCTATGTCAAATACCTAAAATTACATTTATAACGTTAAAAACAATTTATACCATTTCAGGTGAAATATTTAAACGTACCTAAATAATAATTAAAAATATCAATAATTAGAAGGAATTAGTCCTTATTTCGATCATAATAAGATCATCGGATCAAGATGTATAAATTTCTAACTAGCTTTTATCTTTCATAAAGATACAAAAAAATGGCCTTTTCTTAGCGTTCACTACTTTTTTTATGGTCAGATAAAAAATAATACCAATAGAAAATATTTTCTAATTATTTATAATATGAAATTTGATTTATCATGTTCATATAACAATGTATTATATAAATATATTATATAAATATATAAAAAGAATATATGAACTTACCACTCCTCCCGCCTCTTTTGAACCATAAAGAGGCAAATAATTCGGAAGCTTTGTTAAAAATGAATAATGCAATGGTGAAAGGGTGTTATAGGCAGATAAATGAAATGATAACCCTATCAGCATATAAGCAATTAATACCTGACGCCAATATTGCTCCAGACTCGTGTTAAAAATCTTGTCAGTATCCAAGCCGATCTCCGTTTCAAAAATCAGGCCCTTGGAAGTACCCAGTAGAATGGGACCAGAGCTCGTTTCCGAAGTATTAGAAAAATTCCAACCCACTGCAGTGATCTCGTGACCCTTAAACTTGCCAGCCTGTTTAAGCTTTGTTGTCTTCCTATGCAAGTAGAATAATTCTGAAGGCGGATTGTCCCCATGCCTCGACACCAGAGTTAGCAGCAAGTGATGACCTAATGGATCCAAAAACAAGCCAGACATTTTCATGCTCAGTGCATACTTGGACATGTCGATTTCTGCAAATAAAAATTTAATGCTCTATTAATAAGGAATTAATTTCAAGTAAATATACAATGCATGTAATTTTGTGTGTGTGTGTGCGTGAGCGTGTGTGTGTGTGTGTGTGTGTGTGTGTATCTTGGCATAAAATGTAATATAAAATTTGTAGTTATTATTAGCCTTTTTATTAGAAAATTATATTATTATATTAATATTATTAATTTATTTGTGTAATTTATTAATATACATAATTTAGAGATAAAAAATAATTTTGTATTTATAAATCAAATGATGCAAATGCAAAAAAAATTTTATTATTCACATATTAAAATTACTAATAAAATAATGTAAGCAGCTGCCTACCTTCAGTTTTGTCAGGTTGTTTCATGTCAATGCGTAACAAAATGTTGTTAGCCATAGCTATCACGATTGTGTTACTGCTAACAACTAAATGAAGAATTTTGTCCGAAGGCAGAAAGTTAACTTTCTGCTTTGTGAATATCGGTCCATCATCTTGTAACTTCATTTGTATAAAACCAGCTGTGCTCTGTAAAATGATATTACAATTGTAACAATTCTGTTTATGTATCTTTTATCTTATGTAACTGTGATGTTTGATGAGGCATACAATATCCGGACGAATTGGTGGTGCTAGCATTTGCTTAGAACGTTGAGAAGCTTGCTCGTACTGGTCAAACATTGACGTCATCTTGTCCTTAAATTATGTAGATTATATTAAAACAACACTTCTCTCTAGATATTAAAAAATATAGCAACAAACAGGAGTTTCTATTAAGTTTTATATACTTTTTTTACAAATTTAGATTTTATTATGTTAATAAATTATTATCTTAATAATATCAAATTAATAACAAAATCAACATTGTAGATTCTTTAATACAAGGAATAGTGTGACATTGTTACTTACTATTATTACTTTGCGATAAATAATGTGAGAGGACAGGTAAACCTAAAAATTCTTGCGTCCTTTAAATCCCAATTGATTTTGCGCCATCATAAAAATACTCAGACTCTTCAAGAAATATAAATTTGATTCACATAACATCGAGGAAAAATGCCAAATTCTTCACGACAAAAAATATCAGCTGATTGCTAATAACACACACACAGCCTTATAAGATAAACACTACGCGCCACCATTGAAAACGTGAAAGCAACATGTAGAGAGGAGAGAGGGCAACAGGAGGATCCTCTAGTAAAAGTCTGGACATGAAACAGCCACTTTTGATTGGTCCGCCATTTTTCAGCAATTCCCGCCTTTATATGTCTATGACATTATATGCATGGATCTAAGAATCTATGGATGGAACGCAAGGCAATTTGGGCACAGTAAGCCGGTTCTACATTAGTTGCAAGCCGATCGCAAGCTTGTTGCGACAGCCAATCCGAAGCATTGACTTCAAAATGCAAGCTTCAGATTGGC